CTTGTTCATGGGTTTTCCACATCCATCTTGGCCATCAGCAGCACGGAGCACCACCCAATCCCAGTGGCTGTGCAGAACACACCTGTGCCAGCACGTTGCTCATCCTCAGGTGTGCAGAGCACTGCTGACCCACCACCATGCAGCAATACCACATGCTCAGGCAGCTGGCAGTGACCCCTGCTGTGCTGACTGTGGATCCGAGCTCTGAATTGGACCCTTTAGAGAAACAAGGAATAATGAATCATGTTGATCCCTGAAGTAAATGGCAGCGTTGAGCACTCAGGAAATACAAGCCCAGGCTAATTTCCTACATGGGAAAGAACAACATCTTCTTTCACGCCATAGTGCCTGCCTGCTCCTGAGAGTTTTACTGTGTGCCAGATGATTGAAACAGAGCCTCTTGTGTTAAAGCCACCAAAGACACAGAGAGGAGTCAGTGACACCGTGCTTTGGCCAAGGTTTCAGAGGAAGGGCTCCTGGGGACACACAGCAAAGGACCAAATTCAGTCGCAGCCCTGAGAGAAGGGCTCTTAGATTCACAACCCCAATGAAAACCTGAGTGCTGACAGCTTATCAGTTGCGTGATTTACCACCAGTAACTGCTAAATAATCATGAAAGTAGCTGTCAAGTGAGAGCAATCTCAGTAATGCACATCAAGAGCCAACATAACAGCTTAAAAAAATAGTTCAAATGCATAGACAAGGCAAACTGTACAGTTTGACTCATTTAATTGCTTAAATCATGCCAAATTCCAATTTAATAACACGCTTATATACAAAGAATATGTCACAAATAATGCATCAACAGAAACACATGTTTAACACAAAGAAGTTAAACCGGTTCTGTGGCAGATGCTCGTTTACATATGCATTGATTTAATTACAGATTTCTCTCCCTCTTTTCAAGATTGCTATAAAAGATCCAGAACACAATCCCTGAAACTCTTGAGTTGAGCCAGACTGACGAGATGCACCAATTTTCCCTTTGGTTGTGCCGGCAGAGATGTGCAACAATTCTGCTCTACTGACGCAAACAAAGTCAGAGGGAAGGGCAGTGCTGGCACAGCTGAAGTTGGCAATGCACCACTGGATGTACTGAGATTTGTAGCTGTCTTCGTAAGAATGAAAGCTGGAACGGGGCTGGAAGATCCTTGAATTCCCACCTGCAGGAAGGGCATCCCCAAAATCAGATGCCTGCACCTCAGGGGTGCTCTCTGTGCCCCACAGAGCCAGCAAAGCATCCTGCCCTCATGCACACTGCAACTGCTCACCCATGGACTGGGCACGGCCAGTTGAATCCATGCCTGAGCAACAGATCACTCAGGAGATGCATTAGGCAACCATTTCAGGCTCCATCAGCAAATAAAGAGATCAATGAATGGCACTTGGAGACTGTGTGGAACAAAGTGGGAACAACTTCTGCCCCTCCTGCCCCAGCCTTTCAGCTCAGCACGAATTGTTCCCCATGTTCCCTGATGCTGCGGTTCAAGTGAAGACCTTTGTGGTTCACGAGCCAAGTCATGCCCAGCTGCCCTTAGCACACGCATGGTCAGCACCTATTGCTAACACAAGGGCAGGGAAAAGTGTATTCAGAGCACTGAGCTGAGCCAGCATCAACAAATCACAGAATCATTAAGGTCGGAAAAATCCACTAAGATCATCTATAGTCCAACCATCCTCCTACCACCAGTATTGTCCACTGAACTACACCCCTCAGTGCCACATTCACCCTTCCCTTAAAACACCCCCAGGGACGGTGATCCCACCACCTCCCTGGGCAGCCTGTGCCAGTGCCTGACCACTCTTCTGGAGAAGAAATCCTCCCTAGTATGCATCCTGAAATAATGCACAGTGAGAGGAACTGATGGTGTAACACTACTCAAATGCCTCAGTTATGCAGTAGCTTGACTGAAGTCAGGAACAGTTCCTTAAAATCGACTTAATCTACCTTTCTGCATCGAAAAATCCAGTCAGAGGAATATTCCAATTGCTTGTCATTGTTATTTAGCCCTGGCTTTTCTCTGCAGACATCTGAGTGCAGTACCTGCTGTCTTTTGATTGCATCCACCAGCAGCACCTCCAATAGCAGTGACCGGGTCAGCTTCAGAGAGGCAGGACAAAGGGATGGAATAACAAGTAACAGGTAAACAAAGGGAAGAAAAGACTGAAATTATTGACAGGAAACCCCTGTGCAGAAACACAGCGTGGTGCAGGCTCTGGGCTGAGCAGTGGTTGCTCCTCATGTAGAGCACAGGCAGCGTGGAACAGGCAGGCAGCTTGGGATTGTTGTAGGCTGTGCTCAGTCACACGAGATCCCCGTTGGGCGTTCGGTACATTCAGTCTCCTTCCATCCGTTCAACTTGTTTTCCCAGCTGGCAGAGGGATTTATTTTAAGAGAATTCTCTCTTTTTTGTAAATGTGTGGCCTTATAAGCTAAAGTGGGTGATTAGTAACAATGCTGAGCATAGAAACTTTTGGTTTTAACTGTGAGAGTTGTTATGTTATCCCTACCTCAGGTAGAAAGGCAGTCTGTCTGTAGGAAATGTATGAAATACAGGTCAACCCTGTTGATCTTGCTGTGCCCATCACTCAGCACCTCCCAGCTGAGCAAGGAGATGGAGAAAACACAGCTCATTCAGGCTTAAACCCAGTGCTGCACAGCCCATGCTGAGGCAGCCCACATTGGGAGCAGCTCAGGATGCTCTCACCCTTTTGGTGTTGATGTGAGCATGAGCTGGGGCTCTTCTGCAGGCAGATCCAGCCTAGTTGAGTCTGCACAGCTTCCCCTGCATTGTGGGACCTGGGATACCCATGGAGTGGTGCAGACCAGCACATGGGGACAGCCCAAACGCTCGGGGAGAGCACTGCTGCTAATCCATGCTATGGAGCATGCTGGTCACCATGGGTGGTTTGGAGGGGATGTAGGCCTCCCTGTGTGCCATGCTTTGGGGAACACCCCATCTCAGCCAGCTCTGTTCCACAGTGGTCACCCAAAAACTCCAGCAGCAGCCCCACACCGTGACCCTGCTTCTGCCTCCCCATCACCTGTGCATCTCTTCAGCACAGAAACCACAACTATGACTGGGGTAATGTAACCACAGCCCAGCTGCCTGCACAGCAGCAGTGCCACGGGGTGACCCAGCCTTCTGACTGCGTGACACTGAAACAAGGAACAGGACCCAGCCACAGAGGCACCGACACCACCAGTGTGCACCAGTTTTCTGTTGGGGCTCTCTGAGCATAACAATGCATGAGCACTCAGAGGAGGACTCTCCAGGCCAACTAGAAATGGGGTGGGCAAGAGGTTCAATATTTCTTTCCACCCAGTTCATTTTTCTTCTGTCCACCAGAAAAAAAAAAAAAAAAATTGAAAGAAAGCCATCTCAGAGAAAATAACTCTGAGCTGGAGCAGAATGCTGTGAATTTGCACGTAATGAAAGAAGATAGCTCAGGTGGTTACCAGAAAACATCCCCTCCATCCCTTGGAGTGGTTACTGCAGCACTGAGAGCTCAGGGAGGCAGATGAGCACAGCTCACACGTCCTTTCTCCTCCCATCACCACAGTGACTGCTGCATTCAGAATGGGAACTGAAAATAAACGTGGGAAGCAGCAGATGGCCACTGCTGAATGCATGATGCTGTTTGCCAAGTCCTGAGCAGAAGAGCACACGTACAGAACGGGATGGAGCTGCTGGCACCAAGCACAATGGCAGCACCATGGATGCAAGCGGAAAAGCAAGAACCACTCTGCTCTGCACAAACAGATCTCGAGGAAGAAATTATACATATGATAGGCTCTCCGTGGGCTGTCCAGGTGGTTCTCCTGTTTGCCAGACCTGCTGCACGGTGGCACAACGAGGACAAGGCATCACCACACCTTGTAGTGATGGAAACATTCCCACGTCATGGCAGAACCTCGCACCCTTGAATTTGAATAACTCCCCCCAGTGCTTCCAACTCAACTTGCTTGCTTCGCTGGGAACACTGACTTTCAGTCAATTCAAATAGTTCCAGCTGTGACACGCACAGGACTAAGCTGTTCCAAGAAAAATTTAAAAGCATTTAAGTATACTCTTTCATGCCTTTCCAGACCTTAGGGATAATTCATTTAAGCATTTTCTTTTGGGAGAAATGGCAGAGGGAGACAAAGGTTTGAAAGCAATAATTTCCCTGGAATTACAGCACAAATCTGTGAGGAGATGGAGGGAATGCAGCACAGAAATCATTGCTGTGGCTCACAGAGGAAGTCAGATTATTTAACCACGTAGCCTTAACATTCTGGAAATGGTCAGCACAGTAACAGTGAGAACTACACAGAGAGGTACTCGAGCTACGAGAGAAGAAAAGCAATTTTATAGAAAAATCAAAAGCAGGAGGGATTTTAGGACATCAGTAGGATGCTGGCCTACCTTTTATTCACTTAGTTAACACGGTTCCTCTTGCATGCATTTTCATGTATATGCTAGCTCTTGTATACACTAGAGTACACTTGTATTATACAGGGTGGGATTTTCTTACTCTACTTTTTTACAGCTGCTGAACTAAGATAAGTTCTATCAGCCCAGGTGCTGTAATGGGCTACAAATTGCTGTATGTAGGAAAACTAAAGATGATATTGAGCTTTTCTGGCCCATGGTTGTCTTGAAGTTTTTTTGCAATGGAAGCCCATGGTCTACAACTATTTTAAACACTACAGAGATATCAAATCAAGATAGGCAGCTGCAGCTAATTGCAGCCCTCTGTGATATAATTGTGCTTCTTATCAACAGTGATTAAAAAGTGCTAAAAGTCCTTTCAAAGAGGGTTAAGTGTGGAAAGCCATACAGCAGACAGCGATTCTTCACAACAAACACAGTCTATCAGTTTCGATGCCACAACTATTAGAAATATTTACTGAACACAGAGAGCAATTTTTAATTCCTAACACAGTAAATAGTATTCTTCCATCTGAGAGACAAAGCAGAGAACAGCTGCAGTTCATTTCTTCTTGATTCACAGTCACAAATAGGAACAGTTCATGGCAAGAACTTTGTTGGAATAAAGTAGAAATGTCCCGTGGCTAAAAGTACAAATCCTGTCTTCTGTCATGAATCTGAATACCTGAAAGACACAGCATTAACAGAACTGTCAACCAAAGCACTGCATTCAGTCCCCTCGGATGTTGCACAAACAAAATTGCACCTTTGGGTCTTCTCTGATGCAAGAGGGCTCTTACAAGAATAACCAGAATGACCCATCCGAGCTCTCCCCAAAACATTGCACAGCCAAGGAGCAGCACTGGGGTCACCTCCCAGGCACAGGGCACAGCTCAGGAGACCAAGAAAAACGCAGAAGCCTGAATGCTTTGGGAGTCATTTTGTACAATCATCAAGGTTGGAAAAGACCACTACGATCATCAAGTCCAACCATCAACCCTTCATCACCGTGCCCACTAAGCCACGTCTCCCATTGCCACAAGCAACGCTGCCAGCAGCGCAGTGGGTTTGTTGGTGAGAGGGGCACAAGAGATCAGGGGCAATGACAAATGGGTGCATTGGGAGGCAGCAGGCCCATGCTACAACAACAAAAATGGGAGTAGATGGAGTTAGAAAATCACATCTCACTTTAACAAAGTGTTTTCCCTCTTTCTAGTTACAGGATGGCAGTGTGCATTACCAGAGAAAAAAACAAACTTTTGAAATGCAGTCCAGAAGCAAGTAAAAAAAGGATTCAATTCCTTGTGCCTAAGAAAGGCATCTGTCCTCTATAGACAAGCACTAATTTGTTACAAACCTGCTAATTTCATTACTCACCTGCAGTGGCATGGCTTGCACTGGGGTTCTCTGAGCCTTGGTAAGAGCTGGCTTTCCTCTCTTAAAAAAGGAGAATACTGGAGATGAGCAGAGATTCGGCATAGAGCTACAAGTAGGCAGCAATTCCTAAAGAAACCTTGTGCTTTTGCAGCCCAGCCTATAGCACAGGTGCTGGGGAGCTCTGTGCTGTCTGGCACAGCAACATACACTTCCATAAATATAAATATCAGCTGTTCTTTAACATGACACAGCACAATGAGGAGTGTATTGAACAGAGCCAAGAAACAGGGACTCCGACAGCCAGACTGGATGCATACATCACAGGGGCTTGCCAAAGGCATGGCCAGTCCCTGATCTGCTTGGGTTTTTTGGGTTGCTCAATAAGCAGACGTACAGCATTACGCATGTGCTGTTGTGAGGCTCCTCAGATGTTCAGAAAGGTGTGAAAAAAATTACTTCCACTGAAGATGGTTGAGGGACACTGAGCTGCTTCGTTATCTTTCCTTATGATTCTAACTCAATTCTGTCCTGAATTTTTGAACTGAAGTCCACTACAGTTAGGACCATCTCCTCACATCGGTTACATGCAACATGTTTGTGTTTCAGAGCAGCTGATGCACTGGGCTGCCAAGCCTCCTTGGGCTTACATTGCCCCCTGGGGGAAGAGGGCACCTTGCTCTGTTCTGAAATTGAATCATTAAATTTCAACTTCCTTAAAGCAATTCAGCTATCATTTCACTTCCTCAAACACAGCCTCAGCTAAACCTATCTAGGTATGCACCACGAACAGAAAACATGCAATCCAGATGGAGACTCTCCCCTTTCCATGCATGGGCAGCTAGACCTTAGGAATAAGTAAACTCCAGGTAGGACATGCTGTGTGCCTCCCGCAGACCCCCTCAGCAATTTCACAACCTTTTTTCTTGGAGCCCAGCATCAAGCTACCACATGGGAAAGCCCAGCAGGGAAATGCATCAGGACCTCACAAGATACCCAGGCAATGGGCAGGAGTCTGGTCACTGACAGCTTCCCAAAGGCAGAGAGCACTGTCTTCACAACTCTTACATGAATTGCATTAGGGCTGGGGAATGTGCTGCAGAGAGGTCACAGTCTCTGACACACAGGGTAAGGACAGCAATTAGCTGCGGGGCAAGGTGAGGCTGGCCACCAGTCCTCTGCCCATCTCCTCTGCCATCCACCTACCTCCTATGGTACTGACCATAGCTGAGCAGGGAGAGAACCCCTTGGCCTTCCTGATAAGGACTGCAGCTTCACACCTTTGGTTCACAGCATCATCTGTGCTCTAAACAGTCAGCCTGGCGGCTCAGGGCTCTTACATGAGTGACCCTTTTTTAATCCTAAGTGGGAGCACTGGTGCCACCATCCTGATACCTATAGGCAATAGGTCTTGACAGCACATAGATGTTATTGAAATTCACTTCAAATGATTCCTTAAAGCAAGTCAAAATGTTTAAAAATAAAAATAAAAAAAAAAATATGGGTGCAAGTGGCCAATGCATGGTGGTTGTTCTTAATCAGTCCTGAGTATTCCAGCTTTGGATATCTGCTGAAAACCATCTCTATGAGCTGGGCTGAAGATGGCTCAGATTCTAGCACACTTAGGACAGACTCTACCTTTTTGTCTCCTTCCATGAGATGCCATCAAAGAATAAAGTGATAGTATTTCCTTACCTCCCCCAGGAACTGAACTTTGGCTTATATTTTGTAATCTAGCAGGTCCAGTCATACAAGTAGAACTTGAGTGTTGCTTCACAGCACATTCCTGCATGGACATCAGGCACCGTTCCTGTTGTAGAAGACCAAGAAGGGAACCGTATTTCCTGTCGGAGATGGATTCATCCACCACGTGCAGGTCGGGCACGGCATGATGATACACAGGGCTGGTGAGACTGGGAGTGCCAAAGGAAGGGAAGGGCCAGAGGTCTGCAGGCGGTGCGGGGTGAGTACGCAGAGCTGCTGGCTGGTACTGCCCTGCCATAGCAACAGCAGGGAAATTCAGAGCAGAGTTGGACATGCTGGTAGAGGAGGATGATGGATATGGTTTGGAGCAATGCGAGGAGAAATTCCACTGGTGAGGAGGCATGCTATCTGCTCAAAGAGAGAAAGAAAACATCTGAAGTCCCATTAATTCTCATCTTCCTCCCCCACCCCAGAGGCAAATTCCAGTGCATTTTTAAGGGAACACTACAGTACTGCATATTCATTTGCACATAAACATATATTCACTTTAGTGTCGCTTATCTTAACATCAGTTCATACTAACAGCAGGTAAATCACCACCACCAGTACTTCCCCTCCACTCCTTGCAGGCATAAGCAGAGTTTTAACACTTGCAAGCTTAGACAAATAGCTCTTTGCAGAAATAACAAATTAAGTCATAATGCACTCAATGCACCTGACTGCGACGGAGGCTCTTGGCTGGAAAATGAGGACCTGGTCCTGCCAATGGACCCATGCAGAGTTTGGGAAGCAGCCCAGCAAACAGGGAGTTACTGCGGATGTCCCAGTGATATAAATCGGCTCTGCAAGCATGACTTTGCTGCTTTGTTTGCACATAGTTCCAAACTATTTGTAAACAAGGCTGCATAAGTATATGTGAGAAAACACAGCATGTTTCATCTTCTATTTCTTAGCAAAAGCTCAGCACCCAGCTCACCATGCTTCGGGATGACAACCTCGCTCTTGTGCTTTGTGCTCAGGTCTTGTGGGTTCCTGACATTGCTCAGAGCTCTAGAGAAATGTTCATCCACCACACTGTTAATATCTCCTTGGAAATACGTAAAGACGACGCTCTGAGCTCCCCATTCTGTTTTCACAGGCTCTTTGCTCTTACACGGCTTTGGAGAAAGCTTCCTTGTTTCCTCCATTTTCAATAAGCAGCAGCCCCTGCCAAAAGAAACAGATTGGTACAGGAAGAACTCTTCGTCTTAAATGGCACAGCCAGCGGTGAGCCTGTCTTCCTGAAATTAGTGGTGCCAGAGGAATTGTTGCCAATGAGATGAGATTCTTTATCCGGGTTTCTGCTCCTTCCAGTCATCTTCCAGTCCTTATTCTCTCTCATCAGCTATTGATTCATGATGAAACCCCCGAGTTCCTCAGGCCTCTTCAGATTTTTACTATTTTTTTTACTCCTGCATCCTTTTCCCAGCTCCAGCCTGTACCCCATCTGATCACAACACACACAGGTTGGGTACCAGTCTGGAAATGCATGGAGATCCTACTCCCAACACCTACCCCCAGCCATCTGATTGGGATATCAGTCTTTCAGAACTTTGCCATTGACCAAATCTTCCCAAACGGAGCAAAGTTCAAACCAAAACCTTCCTCCTGGTTTATAGCTACCTTCCCAAGGCATATGAAGAGAGCAAGGAGCTAGCACATTCCAGACAAATAACTGGAAGAACTTTAAGCAAAAGGACACTACTTTTGTTCCAGCCTGGTTCTAGAAAGCAATACACAATTTAGGTTACAAAACTTTCGGGCTGTTTATCTGGAGGCCAAAGCTTGCCATGGAAAATTCCAACTCAAGTGGTGAAAGTTTGGCAAAGTCATCAGCTGCCACACAGCTTGAGAAAGGACCAAGAAAGATCAGATGATCTCAACAGCAAGCACCAAACCAGTTCCTCCTACACTGCTCCGTGATGCATCCTTCAACATACAATTTAAAAAGCATTAGCTCTGGCCCAGAGGACCATTTCTCCTGTTCCTCGCTCACGGCAAGACAGCCATTTTGTCTTCGTCCCACTTTATTAACATGTTAACCAGCTTATGATGTTAATTGTAAGGTCCTTTAGCACCATTTATTGGTGTGTAGCAGCTTACACTTTTGTGAATTCTGACCACAGTACAGTTACAATGCTAGAAAAATAGTAGTCTGTTGAAGCAAGAACATCAATTTATTTCTCATTGCCCTTAATCATAGAATCACCAAGGTTGGAAAAGATCTCCAAGTTTATCTAGTCCAACTGTCCAACTACCACCAGTAATTCCCTACTAAATCAACTAGATTTAACTAGAATGTTAAAACCTCTTGTGCTTTCCAACAAGTAGTCATAAGAAAGCTGGATATAACTCAGCTGAGCTAGTTACCTGAACTTCCCATTCTTGTCTTCCACAGCAGGAAGTCTGAAAAAAAAAAAAAAAAGCAGAAATCCTTCCTTTCTGCCTGCCACAAAGTGCTGTCAAAATATAGGTGGGACGAAACAGACTCAGCCAACCCTATGTTGCTCTCAGAAGGGGTGGATTATGGCTAACAGTGCAAATAATTGTCAAAGTTATTTGCCCTTCAGTAGACAAGGTAAACAGGCTTAAGAGATGCAATTGTTGACTGCTCACCACAGGTGCCAACTTTGTTTTCCACATTTCCAAGTCCTTGCTTGTACTATTGATTTCCCATCACTGTAGCTTTAGATAAGGAACTCCTTATTCTCTGTTTCATGCCACCTAAACCAGTCTTAAAAATAAAACCCAAAAGATTTCCAACTTCCCAAGCGTTGAGCAACAACCCAGCAAGCAGACATCATCCTTCACTAAGTGTCTTCCAAATAAAGGAGCACTTGAGAAAGGCAGCAAAGATACATTGAAATAAATGAATTCTCATACCTTAACTCACTGTGACGAGCTGTGGCACACAGGTGAGGTGTCCTGCAGGTGGGGTGGTCATGCTGTGCCCAGTGGTGTGCAGTCCTTCCCCCCGACAGCTACACGCACACCACGGTGACTGCAGGAGACGAGCGGCGTTCATGAACTCCCCGCACGCTTTCTAGCCTCTAGCAGTGACTGAACTAGGCGTTTCCTTCAGCCTATCTACTAAGAATGCATGAAATGCACTCCAACAAGTCAACCGGGTTAGGAGGTTTCAGGAATGAGGAAAATAGGATTGTAAATAGGCTGTGTTTTTTTTTTTTCCCCAATGACAATGTGTACACAGTCAAGAAGACAGTGTCTGGGCTTCGGAGGAGTTCAGAATAAAGTGATGAACAAGTTACGGCCAAGAGCCAACCTGCTGCCTTGGCCAGGGTCAGAAAGGACTTCCCTGTTACACATATGGCATTAAGTGTGTAACTGGGAATATCAGCAAGGAGGAAGAGATCAGCCATCAGCATGCTGGATAAACTGGGTGACCAATTCTTTTTTTTTTTTTCCCTCCTGGATCTGCTGAAGTGAAAACATTGTTATTCTGTGAGAATAGATAAGAATAGATAACAGATAATGTGAGAAACAAGTGGGTTTGTGTTTTTTTTTCTTTAGTAAGTTTATTAAAATTACCAAATTGCAGTCACTCCAGAAATGCTGTATTAAAGACAAATATACTAGTTCCTGCTAGAAAAAGGCATTGACAAACTAATCACCCAAGAGGTAACAAAACTTTCTGCCTTTTATTCAGAGCCTTAAGAGGTCATTCACTCAGGCAGGAGGAAGGCAGGACAGCACCCTAGGATTCCATCTGCATCAATACGTATGAACCTGTTTCCCTGCCACATCCCAGAACAGCTATCAGCCTGTAGGATTTTCCAAGGCTGTGCTTAGTCTTGTGGCCAACACAGCCTTGACAACAGAGAAGTTTTAACAACGAGACAGACTGGACTTCCAACGTCTCAGCAGGTCCAGCACCCCAATCACTCCTGAATCCCTCTTTCTAGACTCCATTTTACAGTATAGCAGATTTCTCCTGCTAAAGCTTTTCAAGATGTCAGTCATGAATTTCCTATGAGGGTTGCATAAAGGGCTCTCACCACTGTCAGACTGCGTCAGTTCAAAGCCACTCAGTGAGCAACCTGAAGAACACTAGGTAGAAATGGGATTGCCACTGCTGTTCCTTTCTAGCGTTGGGATCAAGACATTTCCAATGCTTTTTGGTTTTAGCATTCAAAATGTCAAGTTTCTAATAAAATAATTCTCAACTGTGAGAATAAAAAGTGTAATTCTTGTTGTCCTGCCCCCACGCCTTCTCAGTTATGACCAATGGTTTCCATAGTTAGTTCTCCTGATCCTTCTGCCTTCATGTAAGACTCAGAATCATAGAATTGCTCAGGTTGGGAAAGACCTTAAAGGTCATCAAGTCCAACCTCAAGCTGACCATACAACCCTAACAGCCCTCTGCTAAATCCTGTCCCTGATTTGCACATGCACTGAGCAAAGCCCGCAGAGATGGAACAAAAAACTGATCCCAGCTAAATACTAACAGTTGTAGCACCATGAACTGCAATCACTGCCCAGCAAATGCTACAGGACTTTTTTACTGAGGGGAAAACAAAAAAGAGACAAAGACATTCTCTAAGAACTCATAGAAAAGACTTTTTTGTTCATGAGTTTGTTTATTAAAAAGGTAGTATAAAACACAACCCCTTTAAGAAACAAAAGTGAAGACAAATCAAGGGATTACCAGACGCTGCCACAGGCCTAGAAGTTATTCCAACATAATGGCTTGAAGTGTTTATTTTCTGAAAGGTAACTGAAAACCATCAATTGAACTTGTCAAATAAAACAACCTTGAAGGAAAATTCCAAGTCAGCTTACCGAAAAGTTTAATCTAACAGTTTACTTCGAAATTACAGAAGGAGCAAAAAAACCCAAAACACCCAAAAAACCAATTTGCTGCAAAAGATTTTATACTTCCATCAGTATTTTACAGAACGTTCAGAGTGTTGTGACAGTAAGACTGCAAGCCCTGTATAATGAGCACTGAAAAACACACAAGCTAAATCAATACAAGTACTCAACTTACATCATTGTACTGCTGTAGGGTTTCTCAAATTCAGACAAAAGTAGTTTTAGAATCTGATCAAAACCTGTAGGTATGTTTTGTAGGTTGTTTTGTTGTTATAATTAAAGTTTGCTTAAATGACACAGAATTCAGGGTATTGATGCTGATTTTTACTGGGAAGTTTAAGGCAAATCTGGGTTTCTAAGAAGTATCCGATACTTCTGAGTTTTCTGAAGCTAAATATTTGAAGTTGTGAACAGATTAACCGTAACAATGTTAGGACACGTGTTAGCTAAAATGCACTGCATTTACCATACCAATGATTTTAAGTGAATTGCAATCCTTATACAAAGCGCGAGTTGTACCAGGGACTGAAATTCAATTAAAAGAAGTAATAAAAAAAAGTCAGCAGGAGAAACAGATAAACATTTTGATGCAAAATGAAACTCACTCTTTCCAGCTGTATGTGAACATCCGAGAACCTGCTGCAACTTACATGCCTGCTCTGCTTGGGCTCCTTGCTCCCAGGCACCTCGGCCACGCTCCTTGGAGAGCCTCATCTCTGACAAATGCTGATAACTCTGTACAGTTACCTTGACAGCAAGCCATTAAATAGCATTTGATTGTAAAGCAAACTACCGACACACCTCAAAGCTAAGCCATCGATTTGCTGTTCCATGGTTAAGGAAGTGATCACCTATGCCCAACTGCAAAGGAGTAACAATTTATTAGTATTCTTTCCCTGCTGGTAGCTTTAAGTGGCTTCACATCGCATTTGTCACACTGTGTGAATTAGCAGAAAAATCTTTCTTTAGTTCAAAGCAGCAATGACTACCAATAAAGCGTGTCAGTCTGCTGCCAGGCAGAGCTTTCATACAATACAGAGGGAAGAAGACAACTTTTCTTAAGATGAACCTCTCCCTAAAAGGCCATGAAGGAAGAAACACAGTACACACAAATGGAAACGAAGGAACATTAGAAATTGAGCAAAAATTGTTGCTTCTAATGAGCAACACTGATTAGCAAATCAACCCTGCGTTCCCAGGAAAGACTCATTTTAGTGGTCATCAAAGCCTTTTTCATTAAAGAACAAAAGCAGCGAGGATTGCATTGGGCATTTCAAACCCTCATCAACCCAGTGATGATGCTCAGAAAAAAAAATAAATCAAGATTTTAAAAGCAACTCAGTTTGTTCTGCTTCTGATTTGCTAAAATAAGCTGTTAAACATTACTGTTCTACACAATCATTTTCATAATTGTACTTGGAAAATGAAAGTTTGAACCGATGTGAGAAAACTTTGCGTTCACTCATTTATCAAAACCTGCATCATTTGGGAAAGTACCAAAACCAACCAATCTTAATGCTAAAAAGAAAGTCACAGCTGCATCAGCCCCTCTGTGAACTATCAAATGCCTCCGTAACTCAACAAACAATTTAGAAAAATATATTTTTACTTTTTACTGGGGAATAACAGAAAGAGGCAAAGAAAAATGCCAGTTTGAGTGTAATGTCACTTCAGAACGTATTTTCATGGAAAAACAGCTTTTATTTTCTAAATAATCCTACTTTATAGGAAAGCCAGTATAGCATTCAGTCTCAGTCTTTGTCAGTGCTCTACTTCAGTGTGAAGTCTAGAGAAAAGCAGGAAGCAAACAACATCATGTTGGACTTCTCAAACAAGCCAATCCATTTTGTATTCCGATTGGAGAGAGGAAGGTTACTGCACAAGTAAAGTGTCTTTATTTCCCAAGATCTTTTCTCAAACACTAACACTACCCTTATTTTTTACATTTGATAAGATAAGGCTTCATAGAACTGTACAATATTTATACATTTGACGAGTTTCCCTACATCAACTGCAATTCCACTGTAGAACAGGCGATTAAACTGCCTAGAGTGTTGTATGAACAGGCTCTTAAAAAAGCAAACAAAACACAACAGCCTAACAAATCTAACACTAGAGAAGCTTAGAAGCTGGAAGATAAAAGGAGCACTGAAAGCAATACTACGTTTAATTACACTCTTCTTGTGTAAAGCTTGTGACAAAGCATTGAGCCCTCAGAGGTCTGCAGCGCTACCAACCAAAGTCCCACACAGAACCAACACCCAGAGATGCAATGGCAATATGCCACCAGTGGGCAGCTGCACACCAAGCAGTATTTCAGATTCCCTCAACTGTCCAAACTTTTTTTGTTTAAACCCATCGTTCACACCTTGGTGAATATGAGAAAGTGGCCTTATTTAGATGGCAAGTTACTGCCATTACAGCTTTACAGCGCAACTCAGTAAAACTGGAAATCTGTCATGCCAGCTTGTAATGAGCTTCTGGATTTTTAAACCTGGAACTCAAAGCATCATACTTGTTCAAATAACAGGTATTTTGTCACAAAAGGATATAACAGAATCACAATGACCAGTGTTAAACGTCAGATGGCTTGGCTGCTGTAACTACCCACACATACTGGTTACATATAGAATCCTCAGGGTACCATAAAGACTTCTGGAAAAGATAGAGATGGCAACCTCAGAGCACAAAGCTTGAAAATACCAACTTTCAGACTATTCTGAATACTTCTGGATGGAAATACACCTAAAATTAACATCTATGGTTTCTCGCAATCCAATATGAATTAAAAAATACACTTTTTAAAGAGCTTCCTTACAAACGTGCACCAGCAGCCACCCCTATGAACAACGTGCTATGCATTTAGCACCAATATTTTAAGCATTTAGTGCCTGAATCCGTATGCTCTTAGGAATCAAAATCATGGGATTCCAAATGAAAAATGACTGTGATCCAAATGGCTCCCTCAGGGTTATTTTTCAAGCCTCCTGCTTATTAAGGTATCTAAAGATAGAAGGCCTAAATCTTTGTTTTTGGAAATATTTCTAACAGAGCTAGCACTACGTTTGCTTTTTTTCCTCATGGAAAATAGTATTATTCTCTGAAAGCATGTTCAAGTAGTCTAACACTACACAACCAATCGTAGTTCAAGTTGCCAAAAGCCTTTAGGTTTTATGAAATAGAGGAGAACTCCCCACCACCCTCTGAAGGGCAGCTGAAGGCTAAATGCTGAAGAGAAGTCATTCTAACAGAGTTAAAAGAAAACCTCTTCTCTAACACCAAAACAAAAATTAAAGCCAAATCAACAAACAAAAGCCTATCTACTGTATACAGACCACGGGAGTTTAAAGTCAGTTCTACTTCATTATAATCTAGAATGTGTGTGCTCATGCATTTGCAGTTTCCTTAATTCCAGCCCCTAAAGAAAATCAAAGCATCAAAGATATAAACAAGGGAAAAATAATTTACTGAATACTGTGATTTAACTATCTTCACTCAGTTTGCTCATCACTGAAATAGAAATCTTGTTTGTTCTCCACTTCAAGTTCGCAGATCAACAACAGTCCATTATTTGCTTCTTAATGTACAGCAACATATCTGATGCATTCACCCTGTAGTTATCACAGCATCCATTCCATAGAATGATGAGAAGTATTCAGGACAAGAATAATTTTAAGGATAAGATATCAAGTTCCAAGGAAAAATAATGACAAAATCCACAAAACTTGCAATAGCTTTGCATTTTTCAAGTTACATATAGTTACATAAACTTAAGGGTTGGAACATATTTCACACATAATGAAACATTGATGAGCATAAATAGAACAAAAGAAGCCTGATGAGTTTGCTGTTATTCTTGGCAACTTGAGTTACTTTACCTGAACAGCCAATTAATACAGACTTTTAGAACCTCATTAAATACTGCTTTTAATGAAAACTTCAAAGCACACAGTTGATGACATTTCTAATAATGCATATATTCACATGAACGTTGTCTGCAGTAACTCTGAAAGAAAGGGATAAACTCAAACATCACCCTAAAAACCATGCTTTCACAAAGCAATGGAAATGTTATGTATCTGCTTCAGCATCACTGCCCGCAAGGCTGCTGTCTGTGGATGGAGCACCATCTTCATTAATGCCCTCACCATTATTCTCCTTCTTATGGCCTTCATCATTTACATCCTCCTTGGCTGTATCATTAACTTTGGAAGGTTGGCTGCTCTCAGGGATTTTAACGCTACTCGTTGTGGAATCTGAATCAGACGTGGTTTGCTGCTCCTTTGCATCAGGATCCTCTAAAAACGACCCCCAGACTTTCAGCCTTTCTTCCCTTTCTCTTGCAGTCTCCTCCACCTATCAAAGACATGTTTAAACCTGTCACTCTGAAGTTGCACATGTAAAGTGAATACGTTAATACAGAGAAAGTTACGTGCACTTTATACCACAGTAACACCACAAGACTTCTGTAGGACCTGTAAACTAATTATCTGTACATCCAGTGAATAATCCTCTACGTTTGCATCTCTAATCCACATTTTTAAGAACAAACAAGTCCTTCACTTTTTTTTTTTTTTTTTTCCAAGTTGAATATTTAAGGATGTAGCAGCTTTTGTGCAGAAGCAAGATGGTACAAGGGAGGGGCACGAGGAGGGGGACGGGGAGGGGGTCAACAAGCATTTGCTCACATTAATAGATACAGAATAAGAATTTCAGGAAGTAGAACTGTGAAAGACTACCTGATAATCTGTTACACCATCCCACGTTTCAGCACTGAGCTGACGGCCACCAAACCACCTCCCATTTAGAGTTAGTTTGCACAGATCAGCTTCTGTTGCTTCCTTAAACGACACGGAAGCGACGCCGTCAGGGTGCCTCTGTAAAGAGAAAAGCTTTGTTTAACAGTACTCTAAATACAGTGTATCTATTCTATCATCTTTTAGCTTGCCTTACAAAAAAACTCAGGATATTGCTCCATCCTGAACATATATCATCTTGTTTTTTAAAACAAGTTGCAAGATTTGCACATTTTGTTCTACTGCTTAAGACTCTATTTTTTTTTTTCTTACACAGAGCAGAATTTTTGAACATAGCAAACAAATGTTTCAGCTAGTTTAGCTATAAAGGAATTTATTTATAAACTTTCTAACTTGTGGCATGTATCCAAGTTATCAGGAAAAGCTAGACTGTCAACTTTAAATCAGCGTGGAGAGAAGTGATTACAAATTCATTTCTGAAAAAGCTAATACTGAAAGATGAGGTCAACTTTTCAGGAAATAAATCCATGAAAACATGACAGTGCTTCACTCACACTGAAATAATCCTATGTACTTCATACATTTACACATTACATCAATTCTGCCAACGCAGCCATCTAGAAATACTTACATCAAATATGAGAACCTTCTTTACTTGACCAAACTTTTCACATTCTGTCCGCAGATCTTCCCTGATCTCATTTAGCACTAAGGGATCCTCCTGCAATGATTAATTTAACACGGATTAATTTATGCAACTTTTGCATAACCACCAACAGAATTAATCTATCAATCCATTACATGTTCATAAATCAAACGCTACACTTTATTTTCAAAGCCACTGTAAGTTCACAGCCCTCATTTGAGTACAATTACTCAAAGTAAGCTTATTGATAAGGTTATTTTGTACTGGCTTCTTCACCCTTCACATAATTACTGTGGACTCTTCTTTTCATCCCAGAAAGAAATAATGGCAGGATGTGAAAAACAGATCTTTTTCTGTGAAAAAGACTGATTTGCAAAACTTATTCTTATCAATACCTCTGCATTTGGCTTTTCGGAAACAGCTCCCTGAATTTTAAGCAAACGCTTGTAACAAGCAGAATCCCCCCCAAGTGGTAAGTTTCATTTGTTTCCCATTTACTTTGAAAAACTATGGCATGAAGTTCAGCATTAGCTACAATAGCATAATCTACAGGAGCAAATTGCATCTTTGTACCTCAAAGTCCTTTGGGTGAAACATATTCCTGATAATAACGATGCGTTCGTGTCGCATTCGAGCTGCACCATCTTTCTTCTCAGGCCTCCAATCCAGCTGTCTAATGAAATGAAGCAACAGTAAGAAGATATTGTTGCGGCTCTCTTCAGTTTCTACAAGTATTTGTTGAAAAAAAATCATTAATTTGGCATTTCTTACAATACATCCAGAAAAACATTTTGACAAAGTAAAATTTTTCTTAAGGAAACGCAGTTAAGAATCCAGTGTTACCATTTCTCCTACAAAGCAGTTAAGGGTTTAAGGTACTTAAACACCCACAGAGATGTAAGTTACTTTAAGAAAAAGATTCAAAGCACTTTTCTAAACAGAAAATAAACCCCATAATATTTAATTCCTCCTTCATATCAACTCAGATTTAGAAACCATCCATCACCAATAAAAACATCAATATCTTTTCTAACAGAAGACTTATTTTGTAAAAAAAGGAAATCCACTTTTCCACTTGGTAAAATTTTGGTGCTCATATTTATACAAACATGCAAGAATTCCTTGGGTCTCACAGAGAGATTGCTATGAGATGTATTTTGTTCCACAGCATATAGAGACTGTGACCCTGAATTGCACTGCTAGGTTTGTGTATCTTTTCTATGACTTTGCTTTCTGATAAAAATAGGCTTTTCTTCAAGAATTTGTATTTTGTATCCTACTACCAAAGGAAAAAAGAAAAATTTATTTGCAATTCTAAATCTCAGAATTTTATATTTAAGGGGAAAAAAAATCTTCAAATTGCTCCTTTTATCTGCTACGAGAGCTGAGGAAAACTTGGATTTCCAAAGCAAGTTGCTCTGAAAGCAAATGATGTTCTTCAACCCAAAAGGAATATCGTCTGAAGTCAGTTCGTGTAAGACAGAATCAAAACAGCTGAATGACTAAAGAACCCAAATTGTTTTTTCATCCAAACTGCTGTCAAATGCTGTTTTCATAGTTCTCCCCTCTCATCACTGGAGACAACTTAAAACAAGAGCTGCCAATGTAGCTGAGGCACAAACATTTCAAACTGCTTTTATTCTTAACTGGTCAGACGTCAAGGAGACTTTGCTCACTTTAACTGTGACAACATATACTGGCATTACTATTCAAAATGTTTAGTGGAATGCTGCTTACATTAAAATAAGAGTCCTATGCATTCAAAACCTTTTTCTTCTTTTTAATTCTCACCTTCTTTCAAAATGCAGAAAAACAATTATTAAAAGATAAACCCAAAGCATCCATGTACGATTAAAAAAATGCAAAACGGCACCAACCATAAAGCTGTGGGAATCTACAGAGATATGTTAACACTTGCTGCTAGGAAAGCCAGCATCACTCACCATCTGCAGTGAGTAAAACACCATACCAACAGTATATGTATGTAGAATTGTTACCTTATGAAGTAAGCTTAGGACCACAGAACTCACCCACTCTCACACTCTGGGAAAAAAAGAAGTCTTAACTCCCCTGAGATGTAATGTTTTCTTGTATAACTGAAAGAAACTTGGTTTCCTATGTATTATTTTAATTTGGTAATCATGAAGCTTATAAAGTCAACAATTAACACAGAAACTCCTTCCCTTCAAATGTATGTCATTTACACTGTTTCACTGTCAGGTGAACTTCTGTGCAACTCTTAGCATTTAATCTGAACAAAGCAACACTTTAATAGCGCTATGAATTCAAGCAGTAATTTACAGAAAGAAAAAAATAATACAAACTTCTGCTGTTGAGACAACTTCTTCTTGTAGTCTTTACATTTCTTCTTCTTCTTGCTTGCATCATACTCCCCCTTGAGTTGAAATTTTGCAACTTCAACATGCAATTTATAGCCTCTAATTTCGGCCTCATCCAGAAGCCTCAAAGCAAGTTGAACTGATTCTCTCTACGTGAAAACAGAAACAGAGCACAAGCTTAAAAAATCACACTGCAAAGGCAATTAATCCAGTGAGATATAATTAAGAATGTTGTGCTAAGAATCAATTCCCTGATATTGAAAGCCATAATGCCAGACCTCTTCTTTAGTCTTAACTAAAAAAAGCCACCACGGAAATACACAGAACTGTGTATTTTAAACCAAAGTAGATCAAGTACTTCCTCACCACTGTCATAGCAGATCAATGCTCTGAAAAGCAACTGCTTATATTTCAATTAAGTGTCATTAAAACTACTCCCAACACTCCTGCAAACTGATGAAAGAAAGGGAAAAAAAAAAACAGGTGCTTGGCTTTCTGTATATATTGTAGCACTTCTCCAAGAACAGCTGGCATTTAGGCTGTTCAGCCATTTGAAACGTTTTCCTAGAAGTTACTCACAGTAGACACTGTATTCAAACTTGTGCACTAAGCAGCTCTAACTACTCAATCATAGAGCTAGCCTGCAGATCACAAGGCAGCTGCTCAGTACTGCCTGGTGCTTCTTGCAGAGTTAAAGCAGACTGTAGTGGCATACACTAACTTTCCAAATGATCCACAGCTAAAAAACATGAAGGAAATACGACTGCAACCCAAACTTTTATAGATGGACATAGGGAACAAGAGCAGTTCTGAAATCAAGGTCTGAACTTAAAACAGTTCTCAGTTAAGGGCTGTAAATACACAGCTACACCACAGTCCTTTTCATCTCCTAGTTTTCGTTCCCAGCCACACGGACACAAGTTTTTCTAGTGGAACATGAAGAGGTTCCCTGTTTCACACCATAATCACTGACAACTGAGACAGCAATACTTCTGAGTATGCTCAGGTATTAATGGACATTTTCATTAGGGAGCTGGAAAAGGGGAAAACAAATGGGATGCACGGACAGCGATTCCAGAACTACCCACATATCAGCTTACAACAGCCATGAATGTTCTAACTTGTACTTCAGATATTTCAAGAATCTTTTGAAATCAATTTGAAACTGTGGCCACAAGTACTTTCAACAGGAAGGAATAGAGCATTTCAGTGCACCACTGACCTTTAGATAGCAGCAGAGGCCGTCTCCTTTGAGATTTCCTTCCTTATCTTTGTAAAGTTTGATTTTGTGCTCCTCTGTCTGAGGATCTCGCATAATGATCCCACCTTTCGACATGACTTGAACAAATTCATCTTTTGTAATGTCTGGTGGTAAACCTGTCAGGTACATTGAAATAGAAGGATTGAGTACATCTCACTCAACTTTCTATTTTTTATTTTTGAATCTCACGAGTGAAGAAAAAACAGTGTTTCTTTAAAGGAAAGATAGGAAACTTGGCAAAACTTTACATACAAAATAATAAATCAATGCCTTTGGAATCAATATTTTTGCTATTACCTTACAAGCATTATTCCACTGACATTTTTATTTCTAAATAAATTGGGTATATCTGGGGGGTTGGACTCAATGACCTCTGGAGGTCCCTTCCAACCCCAATGATTCTGTGATACAGTGACATCTATGTGCTCCCTAATCTCTAGTATGTTCTTTATCCTATTCCTTGTGACTTTGGAGTTGTTTTTCTTACTAAAAACAATTAAAAAAAAAAAAAAGAATGAAAGAAAGAATGACAGTTTAGGGACTTGGCTGCTACATCTCACAGAATATCACATTTAAAAGATAAATGCACTTAGATTACTTTCCAAAAAATGCAATTGAAAAGGTCACAAAGGTATTATGAAGTCAGAAACAAGGTTAAGCAATTGCAAACAGCAGACTGAGCATAATATTAGAGTCAGTGAGACAAACACAGTTTTCCTTATAAGATTTATTTGCTTTGATCTCAACGTGGTAATACATACCAGTCACATAAACATTTGTGTTTCTGTCTTCTTCAACATGAAACCATCCTAAAAAAACAAAAAGAGGAAAACAACAGTTTGAATTCAGTCACACCAATGTATTAAACATGGAATCACATAATATGTTTCTGATGTTCACGTTGTTATGGACGAGAGACTGAACATGAGCCAGCAGTGCGCTCTGGCAGCTCGAAAGGCAAATGGGATCCTGGGCTCCATCAGGAGAGGGGTGGTCAGCAGGGACAGGGAGGTGATTGTCCCTCTCTACTTGGCTCTTGTGAGGCCCCATCTGGAGTACTGTGTCCAGGTGTGGAGCCCTCAGTACAAGAAAGACATTGAGATTTTGGAAAGGGTCCAGAAGAGGGCAACTAAGATGATCAGGGGGCTGGAGCACCTCCCCTATGAGGACAGGCTGAGGGAGTTGGGCTTGTTCAGCCTGGAGAAGAGAAGGCTGCGGGGTGACCTCATTGCAGCCTATCAATACCTGAAGGGAACCTACAGCCAGGAGGGGAGTAAACTCTTCAAAAGGGCTGACAACAGCAGGACTAGGGGAAATGGATCCAAGTTGAAGGAGGGAAGATTTAGGTTGGATGTTAGGGGGAAGTTCTATACAAGGAGAGTGGTTAGGCCCTGGAACGGGTTGCCCAGGGAGGTTGTGGATGCCCCGTCCTTGGATGTGTTTAAGGCCAGGTTGGACAGGGTCCTGGGCAACCTGATCTGAATGTGTGTGTTTGGTGGCCCTGCTAAGCAGGGGGGTTGGAACTACATGATCCTTGAGGTCCCTTCCAACCCGGGTGATTCTGTGATTCTGTGATTCTGATTCTGTTCCCTCAGATTTGTAAGAGAGAAGGAGAAGCCCCAAACATACTTGAATTTTCTTTTTCACCTTATATACAGCCTTAGAGAGACAGCTATCAAGTACCATACTTGTTTGAAATCACTTGCAAAAACTTCAGAATGACAGATACATTTGCTTTTCGTGGTAATACCGAACAACTGACAGTTTCCACTCAGTACTATGCAGGTTGAAGCCTACAGAGACAGAAACTCTTCATCACTTACCCGGCTCAAGTTTCCGTTTTTCTGTTTTTTGTTTTGGTTCTGTTTGTTTTGGTCCCTTCTCATTTGCTGATGGCTGTGTTTCTGATGTGTTAGAACTCAGTGGTAGCTTGTTTTCAGTTGCTGTGCCAGAAGCAGATGAACTATCCGTTTCGTCTGCATTGAAGCCATAGTTAGCGTGATACGTAGCCAGGAAATCTTCTGTTATCTGAAATTAAATGAGAAAATTAAAACCCCAAATTCTAAGAATTACAAATTAACGTTTGGAAGTATTTTAGTGTTAACATTTTGGAAATTATCTTATTAGTTGTGGTCATTTTTCAACCCATCACAGCAGAAAATAATGAGTCATCTTTGTAAAAAGCCACATGGACAGCAAGAACTGTGAATTCAGGTATTTCCTCAACCACATTCACCCATTAATGCACAGCACAAAGTTTTTAAACAAACATTTCGCAAGTTCTGCCTTTTTCAAGCAAAGCTTTCTGCTTTCAGCTTAAACTGGAATTGCTTCAAGGACAGAAAGCAAGCACTCCTTACCACGCAGAAGAGATAAAGTGACACTGACAGTAAGCCAACAGCTTACCCAAAGATGATGGATGACCAACATTTGTAGGCATCTGTTTTTTCACAGAAACATTTATAGAGATGAAATATATTTGTGGTGACAGGCCATCAATATTGCACTTGAACAGAGCTGTATACTGACACACTGCTTATCAGGCTGTATATTCTACTTCATGTTCTGCTAATAGCTTACTTTTTTCTAGAAAAAGATTCTAATTGTGTAAGATCAGCTAATGTCTATCTTTTAAAGACAGGGAACAAATGAACTACAAACGATACCAGTACTTTCAGCCAAGTAAATTTTAGAACTAGTCACTAGCAAAAACATGCAAAGAGATCAGCACAGAACCACGGAATGGCTTGAGTTAGAAGTGACCTCAAAGATGATCTAGCTCCAACTCTCCTGCCATGCGCAGAGTTGCCAACCACTCAATCAGGCACTAGATCAGGTTGCCCCGGCCCCAACCAACCAGGCCTTGAACACACCCAAGGATGGGGCATCTGCAACTTCTCTAAGCAGCCTGTGCTAGCACCTCACCCTCCTCTCAGATCCCAGTGAAAAATCTCCTCTTTTTCAGTTAAAAACCATTCCCCCTCGTCCTGTCACTATCTACACATGCAGAAAGTTGATTTTTATCCCTTCATGTACTGGCAGGCTGCTAACAGGTCTCCCCAGAGACTCCTGCAGGCTGAACAAGCCCAGCTCCCTCAACCTGTCTTCATAGCAGAGGTCCTCCAGCCCTATGATCGTCCTCGTGTCTCCACATCTCTCCTGAGCTGGGGGTCCCAAACCTGGACACAGTACTTCTGATGGGGTCTCCCGAGCACAGAGCAGAGGAGGACAATCAATCAGCTCCCTCACCCTGCTGCCACCCCTATTCTGATGTAGCCCAGCTTGCTGGTGGCCTTCTGGGCTGCAAGCACACACTGCTGGTTCCCATTAAGTTTTTCATCTGCAGGGACCCCTTGGCAGAGCTGCTCTCAAGGAATTCTCCTCACAGTCCATACATATACCTGGAATAGCCCCAGTACACTCAGAGATGATATATCACAGCTGATTTCATGAGCACCACTGCACAGCAAGGCACTTTCTGAAGGTACACACTGAAACATTGTTTCCTGAGTCTTAACCTTTGACCTGTACTGCACTTGCTTCATCTGTATTCAAATGGAACAAAACTCCACTCCAACAAGCTACTGTAACAGAGTGACACAATGGACAGCAGCAAGGGTCAGCAATGATGATGCACTCTCATACCTTCCACAGTGATTTGAAGCTCAACGTTTCAAGCCTTTATTTTTGACAAAAATACACTGAGTTGACAATAATAGGCTTGCCATGAATAATGCAAAATGCCACAGAGCTCCACATTACTTAGAAGTGTAGCATGACAGCTTCTGCACTGGCAGCACACCTCTGCTAGGAGCACCAGCAGCTGCTCTTACAGCATGGCATAACATAGTGTCAGTAACAAGGAGTACAATGATCTCTAGAGGACAAAAAAAAAGTGTTCAAATAAGGGTTGCTTGTGTCAAATGCAACCTGAGCATTCTTAGCTTCACACTTGGTGAAATCCAGAGAATTAAAAAGCTGTTATTTGGTGAACAGCATTGTTCATTTTCATCAGAGAAGTTAGTGATAAAACCTCCAGCAACGAGCCACTTCTATCCAGCAATACCATTTCCAACTTTGGGGGACCCACATTCTTATGTAAAGCTAGATTTATTCTTAGCTTATGACCTACTATGCACCAGACTGTCATGTTTTAGCAGTCAATATCAAAGATCTTTCTTCCATTACATGTGATCACACTACTGCTTACACCATTACAACTATTTCACTTTTAAATATCTTCTTGCAAGCATAAACAAATTAAGTACAACATCTAAACATGTTCAAGAAGTGTTCAGATGTTGTACTAAGGGACGTGGTTCAGTGGGGAAATGGTGGTGGTGGGTGGATGGCTGGACTGGATGACATCGGAGCTCTTTTCCAGTCCTGGTGATTCTATGATTCTATACAGGTTTGGGGCTTCAGCCCAGCTCTGGGGGCAAACAGCAGGAATAAGAGATCAGTTCTACATCTGTGCCCACTGTTGTACAGTTTGGGGCACTTAAGCTTATAAGAAAAGAAATACAATACTGCAGGACATGCTACCATATAATTAACTACTAATTACACTGAAGTGGAAAGGAATTAATTATCCAAATGAAGAACAGATACTTTAGGCTTACAGAAAACATCCCACATCTGTTTTTTCATAGGAAGCATGGACAGCTGATGAATTCAATAAAAGGCTTTGTGCTGAGTCTGTGAAGATCCATCAAAGGGTGGTACCTATTGATATAGTGCCACTGAAAGAAAAAATCATGAAATAATAGAAGCAACTGTATCTTTCCAATTTTTTTCTGAGGAACTCTTTCAGCTAATATCGACTCCAGGCACTGCTTTGAAACACGTAGTAGTGAAGTTCCCAAAGTGGAGAAGCATTCACCATACTAGCCTGCAGATCTTTAACCAAACAAAGTAACCTGAGACATGATAACATCTAGCTCACTGACCTACCTATGACACAGAGCTGCACTAGGATTATTTATTAACTTCTACTGTGAACCATATTTATTAATGAATTTTTCTGTTCTTACATCATTTCTCCTGAAATTTGAGAGAAACTTGAGAGAAGGAACTCGTAAGCTCAGATATGCCTCACATCAGAAACCAGTATAGCCCTTAATTCAGGTTAGCAGAAGCTCAAGTTAAATATTCACAGCCATCAGCTGGATCAAGCTTCTCAAAACACAATCAACCCCCCAATCTATAACATGAGACAAGAAAGGCATTTTAGGAAAGATTAACACTCCTGAGAGAAAAAGACAGATAAAATACGTGAGAAAGATGGAAAGAAACAGGAGCGAGGGGAGGAGAACCCTTTCAGAATGCACTGTGCTGACTGAATGCATCCCTCCCCAGGGAGCCAGGGATACCCACTTGTTTGCTGCTCCACTTTGGCAGCCCAGATTTTTTCACATGGTTTTAGCCCTCTGCAAGCCGTGTGCAGCACAGACACACTGCTAGGTTTATACACACACAAGCATCATAATTGATTTCATTCTCACTCAGATTCACAAATTCATGGCCACAAACACAAACTGGCACAGCAGGTTTACAAAATACACATTATAAAGCAGTTCCATACTTGTAAGTGAAGTAGTTACCTCTCGCTGTTACAGAGGAACAACAGCATTCTACCTGCAGATCAGCAGACTGGCTGACCACATTAAACTGATATAATCTCTAAATTCATCAAATATTCTGAATATTCGAAAATATATATATATATATTAAAAAAAAAAGAAACTGTGATGTTTCTGCTCTGTACAAAATCTCTGTGGTCAAATATGCTTAATTTTCAAGTGCAAGATCTCAGGAAAGGGAAGATATTTTTACATTTGCATAGTTTTCAGATAACAATAAAAGAGAAAACGAATGCATTTCATTATTTTTCATCTGAGCCTTTATAACGGCCATTCCACTGCTCCACTTCGACCAGCAAGACAAGGATTGCCGCAGATACCACGACAAGAATTGAAATCAGAAGCATCAAAGGCCGCTCCATTCAGAGCCGCCGCCCCGCACGGCCACGGCGGGGGGACGCACCTTGGGGAACCAGGCCTTCTTCTCCCTGTCCCACTCGTAGGCGGCCCCGTCGGCAGGGTCCACGTAGGTGAAGGGGTCGGCCTCGCCCTCGCCGCCGCGCTCGGCCTCGTACTGCTGCTGAAGCTGCAGCTGGCGGTAGAACTCCTCATTGCCGTCCTCGCCGCTCATCCTGGCCCGATCGGCGGGCCTCGGCGCTGAGAGAGAAGGCAGAACGGCCGCTCTGGGCCTACGTACCCGGGCCTACTCGCCCGCGCTGCCGACTGAGGCGCTGCTCGCCCCGCCCCTCAGAGCGGCGGGGCCGGGAGCGCGCGAGGACCGCGTGCACGCGCGGGCGACAGAGGCGGGCACGCACCGCTCGCTCAGCCCCGCGCCGCCGGTGACCGACCCCGGGCCTTGCAGCGCGCAGGAGCGGAAGTAACCCCCAGCCCGCGCGAGGAACTCCTTCCTTCATCTCAGCCAATGAGACGCGGATGGCAGGTCACGAGGAGATCCGCGGAGCTAATGGGGAGGCAGCGTGGTGCTACCCTTGTCGGAGCGGCGGGCGCGCGCAGAAGAGGCGGGGTTTGGTTGTGGGGGCGGGCGGAGCGTGGCAGTGATGGCGTCTCAGGCGGTGCTTGGGCGGGACGGTGGCGTTCCTTAGAGCCGCTGTGGGGAGCAGCGGTGCCTGAGCAGACCTGGCGTGGGAGCTGCGGCCGTTTTATTCACGGGATGAAATAAAGTCTGCCGTGGGTGAAGCGCCGTGGCACCCCGTGCCTTGGTGCTCTTCCCCGGGCAGCTGCGCACCGCGGCCGACTTGAATCGATTCTCATAACGGGGCTTCCCTTGGTGCCATCTACAGGTTTTCACTGCAGTCTGGATACATCTACACCAATAGCAAATTTACTTGCTAAGGGGTATATTTAGAGGTGTTTATTTGGAGGGTGAAGAAGCCTGCTGCTTACGCTTCATTAAGCAGTGCTTAACCCGGAGCTGTAAAGTGCAGGCGTTGGGGCAGTGCAGGTGGGTTTGGTGGCAGTGCCACTGCTCTGTGGAAGCTGCAGGGCAGGCTGCCGGGTGACACAGTGGCAAAGCAGTCTTTTCACTCAGGAAAACGACGCTTTGTGCAGAAATGTTCTGGAACTGAGTATTCCATGGATAAATATATCCGTGCTGTCAGACAGACTGGAATGATAATAAAATCAAAGACGCAATTCTGAGTGTCTGAAGCTCAGTAGGGAGTGACCGACGTAGCTAACTGGCTGGTCAACAGACAGCCAGATAAAATTGCTTTGGATATAAATAGAGACTTTTAGTAACCTTTGGCTGTTACACAAAGAACACCCAGCCTAGTTAATGGCTTCTTTCATGCTTCAAGAATTTTCTCTTGGCAGGGCTATTCCGATAATCATCCAAAAGTTGTTGTATTATTGCTTACGATCTGACAGCTCAAGAGACATTTCTATCGGCTCTGAAGTAGCTCATTTTTAGTGGGGTACGTGGGAGGCTTGTTGTCAGCTGTGCTTACTTGAAAAATGAAATTGATCTAAATGTAGGTCAGATTACTGTCCTTTGTATGTTCCTGACACCAGTAAGATCAGAGCAGCCTGTATTGATGTTTGGGGGAAAAAATAATCAGTGAGTCAGCTGCTGAGGTTTGATGCCCACTCGCTCCTTTTCCACTCTTAGGCGGTAACATGAAGAGAAAGGTTTTAATAGGCCTAAGTATTTATTTGCAAGGTTTAAATTGGAATATATTTGGTAGCATGATAATCACAGTCTTAAATGCCCTAAGAGCTCTACAATTTAAGTCTTAGACCACTAATCTGATATTTGCAGAGTTTTTCACGTTTACAGCCTAGGTAAATGTAGTGAACTCTGTGTCCATACGTTACAGATTTCCCAAGTGTTTTGCATTTCACTTTAACAAATGCTTGATCTGATGTCCTTGGACCAAAAAGCCAGAGTGCTAGTATATAAGTTCCTTTTTTTTTTTCCTGCTTGAGTGCTTAACAGTAAACTCAAAAATTCAGATTCCTTCTTTTGGTGTGCAAGTGGTATCTTACAGATTGGCATGGCTGTGGCAGGAGGTTGGAGAGCACTTTCACTGTAGCTGTGCCTAAAACAAGTCATTCAAGCACTATTCTGGGGAGTAGGACATCCAAATTTAATCCCCACATACTGCTAGAATTAAGAGCATGGTTGCTTGCAGCAGGGTTATCCAGCTACCGAACATCAGTTCCTTCATGGTAAGTCTGGCCTGTATACTTCTGCTGCAGATATGAGGACAAACTACCTCAGAATCCTTTGCACTTCCCGCAGAGAACACCATGCATGAAGGCAGCTACTGCAGAACAGCTGACATCCAGTAGCTTCTTACCTTGTCACTGCCATCTGTTCTCTTCATTTTAAGTAACACCCATACAGTAAGCCAGCTCAGGGAGCTAATTCAGCTGAAAAACAGTAATTTTTCTTTCTTTCTTTCTTTCTTTCTTTTTTTTTAAATCGAGACAGCCTCAATCACACTCTTGGAATAACTGAATTTGTGGCTGCACAAGCACGGCTGCTGCAGCAGGAGAAGGATGAGCTGCAGGTTCTGGGGACAGAATGTCAGGAAATGACATTTTAAATGACAAAATATCTCAAAGCAAACAGTAGAAGGAGGCATTAGCATGTAATCTAGTTATGATCTTGTATCTGTGTTTGACTTTTCTAAGTGATAAAAGGAAATCTTGATTCATCAGAACTGAATGTTGTTCCAGAGATACCACCTACTAAAAGTACCAAAACCTTGGCTTAATAAAGCATTCTGATATTTGTTAAAGCAGAACCAGCAGTTCACTAGCTGACAGGTAAACATGTAGCACTGCATTTCTTAAGATGCTTTGCTATGTCATGTCAGGGGGGCGTTAAATACGGATTCATTACAGAGAGGTTACTCCTGTGTGCTTTCTGTGGGGCTGGGGCCTGCAGCTCTGACACACAGGCTAGCGAGAGTGACTGTGACAAACACAGCTGGATGTAGGTGTGCTAGAAATTAAATACTGCCTCCTGTGTTGACGGTGGAAATTCCTCAGAATAGTTCACCTTTCACTGAGGGGACCAGCCTTGGCAGAAGCCATAACTAAATACCAATTAGAGCCTGTACTTTTTTTTTTTTTTTTAATTCTAAGTATCCTTGATTGAAATGTGCAAGTCCTGTAGCTGTGAGTAAATTTAGCCTCTTATTTAATTGCAGTATTCTTAGCAGAAACACATGACCATCAGTAGGCAGCCCGTATTTAACTGTAAAACAAAATGATGCTTTCTATGGAAACAAGAGGGCGAGCTATAAAGTGGTTACAGTTGCACAAAGTGACTTTAACAGTCAGTGCGGGTTGCTGGAGATGCACTCTGTTTTACAGTATCCATGCTTTGACATTCTTTTGTTTTTTGTGGAAAATATCCTTCTGAAGCCAATCCAACGTCTTACATTGAAAGCACAAATTGGAGCACTCATACTTGACCTGTTGCTAACAAAAACATTATCTGTTACGTCTGAATCTGAAATCTGGCAATGTGTGCATATAAAGCAAACTGTAAAAAGGCAAACCCTAAAAATAGTATTTACTTACCCAGTAAAACTCCGTATGAACAAGTCTTTTCAGTCTTGCCTTTCTGTATTTTGTACCTTTCTGCTACATATTATTTCATTCTGAGTATAAATAGTAAAATTCTAATTCTTCATGCCAGTTTTTTGCTAAGTGACATCGAATATTTCTGTAAATAGACGTCCTTCCCATATTCTTTTGTAGAATTACACCTGTACTACTTAGGGCTGAGAGAGCTGTTTTTCAGCACTGAGAAAATACACTGAAAGAAGCAACCCTTTCCCCTGAACCCAGTTATGGCAACACAAAGGTGTTTTATGGATATTTATATTGGATAAATAGATGCAATGAGAAATATCAGATCGTTCAGATAAAAATATTGTCCAATATATCACTGTAATTCAACATCTCATGAAGATTTGAAAGTATGGAATTAAAGCATAAGGTACATGGAGTACTTAAATTATGGCTTGAAAGATGTGCAGCATATAGTAAAAACATCAATTTGCTAGTACAGTGTGTGAGCAATAGATAGACCATCCAGCTGGAGGAGTCATTACACAAGCAAAAAGTATCTGCATGCAGAGCAAATAAAGTGGTGAATTAGGAAACAGTGATTTTTAAGGCCTACTGTATAGCAAGGATTTTGCAGTGGGAAATATGCTCTCAGACAGAGACAAACTGAGGTCCAGAAACATGTGGCAGATTATTTGCTAAAGGCTTTAATAAGCTAGAATCAAGAGTGGTGTAAGGAAGTGCAGTGTTGATCTTTCTTTTATTTAGAATTCTCTGTACTAAGATCTAGGAAGAGAAAAGGAGGGTCTTAAATGTGTAGGCTTATTTACCCATCTGTATCTCACTGTGCAGTTCCACTAAATAGAATGAGAATGGGAGAATATCAACGCAATATGTACATACTCGTATGTACCTCAGTACCAAGGAATGTGCTCTGTTCAGACAAAGAGCAAAATTAACATCTCTGGAGTCCGCTTTCCCATAAATTGCATTTCTGTGCTGTTATGTTTCCATTTACTGCAGTGGTCCTATTGTGGCGTACAGTTGATACAATAAAATGGAGACAGTATTTGAATAATTAGTGCTTATCGCCTTGCAGCGAGTAATGTGAAGAGAGAAGTAAAACAAGGCCAGGCTTGATGGCATTAAAATGGGCTAACATTAAACTGGTTTAAGAGGACTATAGAGGTTGTATTCCAACACCTTGGGATTTCTAGCGTGGTTTTATTATTCTGATGAGGGTGGTCAGAAGAGAGAGACTGCAAAGAGATTTTCTGCTTGATATAAAGAACTCAAATAGCAGTGCGTGGATGGATGGATTTCCATCCTGGTGAAGGGCTGTGTGCAGCTGGAGGAGCACTATGTCTTGAGGGGTGAGGTAGCCTGTCAAATGAGACATCCAGTTCAAACTTCTATGACCAAGAGCACCGTTCTGTGTGATTCATACATTGCGGCCTCTCTTCAATAATGTAACGCATGTATTCTTTTTTTGAGATGGAATCCCTTACTTTATGCAGTGGAAAATCCGTTGTGGTTTTTTTAACCACCAACTCCCACAGAACAAAATTTTGGTTCAGGGTACACAGCTTAATAAAAACAAGTGTCATTCAACACTTTTGTAAGGTGGGGTTGGAAGATTTGCTTCCTGTTATTTCCTGACAAGCTGCTGAGCTTT